GAATTTTGCCATAATTACTGCAGGTAAATGGAACTTTTCAGCTGTCTTTTGTCAAAGTTTCATAAATTGTACAAGCAGACAAATAACTGATGCCCTAAGGTAGAAATTATTACAGTTCTTAAACTGTGTAAACGACCCAAGCCAAGTAAACGGTTTTTAGTACAAAATTTATGTAATTTGACAGTTGTTTATAAAACCTTTTGGGCTTTTTGTCTGTTGACAACGAATAAAATTAAGAATAAGACTGCCGAAAGTATATAAAAAAAAAAAACAAAAACAACACAAATTCAAACGCTGTTGTATTTATCATATCCATCTAGATTGTTGACGCCACAAACGCAGCGGCTTATTTAGAATCAAGGCTCAGCGATCAATTCACTGAGTTGTAATGCAAACTGGAATATGCTAAAAATTATAATAGAAATATTCAGAATCATTTTAATTGAGTCATTTATTTATTTTCCATTTGGTCAAAACAAGGATACAAGATAGAAATAACCTCTGCCGCACCACCGACATTTACACCGCCGGAGCCCTCGTAGGTCGTGTGTCTTTTCCACTCTTCAAGTTGTTTCGGCTGATTCTACTTAGTACCCAAGTGACTATTTCTTTTATCCTCAGTATGTTCTTTAACATGATCATAAATGTAGTTGACCAACGCTCACACTGACCTTGGATTTTACAACAATTGTGATATGCATGGGCGTGGAAATTATCGACCGATTGGGCGGTGGAATATTGATTTGACCTAACAACGATGGCAGCGCTTCAAATAAAGGCTGAGCCACCCACGGAGTAAAGGCCCACAAGTGGGTGGTTCCTAAATTTAAAAAGACCTGGAATCCCAATATGTTCGAGGATCAGTGATATTCACGTGACTCTTGTCTTGGTTTAAGTTCAAACTGTTGACCTTTCAATACTTCCGTGTCCTTACGAGGTGCTGTAATAGGAATTCATTTCTCGCAAAGAAGAGAAGAACTTTAAAACAATTTCACTCGTGAACTGATATCAGCAAAGAGCATACAGGTCTGTCAGGAGAAAGGCCGGATTTGCCTGATTTGTAGATTGTTGCGAGGATTGAGAATTGCCTAACACCAGTGTGTGTCTGATATAAGTTGTACAGTCTGTTGGGTCGATCAATAATTTGTCCTCACTAATAATTGATTCCCTCTTGGTGTCAGCAACAACAATTTGATCAATATCTCCAACAAACTCAGGCGTTTTTTCTGCTTTAGGGAGACTACAACGGTTTCTTTGTTGTTGTTGTTGTTTTTATTATTATTATTATTATTATTAATATTACTACTATTTCCGTTGACAGTTTTCGGGCGACTTTCTAAACACGAACGCGTTAAGGGGTCAAATTTTTTAGAGTTCCCCTTAGCATCACAACGAATCAACTGAACTCAATTTCGGCTTGGCTTATTATTATTATTATTATTATTATTATTATTATTATTATTATTATTATTATTATTATTGGTAAGTTTATTGTTTAAAGGATGATTTAAGGAAGAAAAAATTATTCGCTGGAAAATCACATGAGATAGTAGACAATCAGGTGACCGGAGATGAGAATTTTTTGAAAAGTTGTCCTTTCCAGCTTCCACAACTTTTCGCACAGAGAAAGAAGAGAATTTGGTCTGCTATCAAGATATCTATAAATAACTGATTATTGTTTTGATCCTCGTTACCAGTTCATTTACCTGTGCAATAATGTATTTGATATTGTAATTAGAAGTTTTAGGTTTACACTGGGAGAGTGAAGGGCACAACAACGGATAACTATCCTCTGAATGTTTTGTTTATTAAGAGAAATCTTTGTTTGATGTACGGGGGGTGTGTGAAGTTTGGTGACGGTTGTACCATTCCCCTCTTGAGCTCTTGGTAAGGACTAGATAAAAGCTGTAAGGAGTTATCTGAAGTGAACTATTTTTATTCCTTCAACAAAGAAAAGAAATCGCACGTAGCGCGATTTCTCTCCATGAAGGTGCTATCCTGCATAAAGCAGTAATGTTGGAGAAGAATGACCCTAACGACGATAAAATTTGTCATGAAATTTTATCGGTTTCATTGAATGTAAAGCTCGCTGCAACGTGATTTGCTCATTAAAGGAACCTTTTTTTGGAGCACAAATAAAAATCATAAATAGATTCCCTACTTTAGATGTTGTAAAGTTGTAGTTCGGTATGAAAGGACTAAAAATGTTAGCTTTAATATTGTCAGATGTCGCAAGTAAAATAATCTGTGCCACAATTTTGGTTGTCCCAGTTTACTTTCTTTTCGTATTTACAGAGTACTTCATTGCTTAGTTGTTAACATTTTGTACCATTCACTGTGAACATTGACAGATATACATTATAGATTTATGCCCTGTGATTTCCACGGTTGGTTTTTCTGGATCATCTAACTTTCACCGAACACATTCTCAAAAGTTTATCAATTCTTGGAGATTTAGGCCCTCCTAAGCCATGCTAAGATTCCTAGTTTTAAGAACATTTCTACGATTTTATGAGAGAAAAAGAAGACAACAAAAAATGAATAAAGTTTAAAAACTGCGAGATTTAATTGTCAGTATAGTTACACATGTAAGATATCTTTAATTCCATATAGCAGACTATTGGTTTGCCTGGATTCCCCCTCTGCAATGTGTCTTTTTCAAGTGTTGTCAAAGAACAAAACGCAGCTTATTTTATTTAGCACTTTACCTCAACAAGTAAACAAAGTTTATTGGCTTAAATCTATCTCAGTCATTGGAATTTTGTACATTGAGAGTAAAAGTGATTTCCAACATGGCCGCCCTAAAATAGCCTTAGGACTATTTCGGCGTACATTTTAGTGTAATAAGGTATTTTTTCTTTTACTTTATTTTTTCAGTTCCTACAGAGTTGTAATTCTGATAATGAGAATGTTTCGTTACCTAACAGATGTGATAAATGCCAGCTTTTCTATTGCTTATCTGCAAGCTGTTACATCTATGACGTAGCGATTACCGTCGCTTTCAAAATCTTGAGAACCAATCCGTTTTTCCAAATTCAGTTGAAAACTTAAACTTGTTCTCCGATCGGAGACGTTAATTATTAATTTTAAAGAAGATAACGGACGCTTTTTGCATGATGCTAGCCTAATAATGAACCATTTTATTTTATTTTTTGAAGAAATCGACTTCACTGCTAAGGGAAACCATGTCGAAGTGTTATATTAACGTCTGAAAGCTGACATCAATTTTGTCTTATTCTGGTCAAAAAGAAAAATATAAGAATATTCGAACAATTTTAATGAAGTACTTTAAAACAATCTCACCTGACAATTACAACACACGAATAAATTTTTTTTCCTGTTTAAAAAAATCAATTCACCGATATTAATTACTACGTTTGATCTTCTATCGACAAGAGAACTTTCATTAATTTTTTTTCTTTTTTATCAGCTACGGTACTAAAATGCTTTAGTTGCCAATTAAATTAATGTTAGCGAAAAAAGTTAGCATCAGTGCATATTGGAACTTTTCTCATTTCTGTTTTGAGACTCACCAACCTATAAGGGTTGCGATGCACAGTTTTTGACAATTTTTTTTTGTGTGATGTATGAGCTGTTATGTCCTTAAACGAGGTAAGCCCAGACCAGCTAAGAAATTGTTCTCAATTTTCGTGTTTTCCGGTCTTACGTGCTGTTGAAGAAAAAAGAGAAGCACTCGAAACCAGATGTTTGTTTACCACTGTGGCTCTTTCTTTGACATCTGCATTTTCAAATACAAAAATTACCTGCTGACGCAGTGTTGATTTTTAAACTTAGATTGTGAAGATTTCCTTTGCTTTGACATGTTGCCGTGGCAACCTAATCATCGTCGGTGTTGCAAGAAAAAAGCGTTTTCGATTGTCCATATGCAAAAACCAGTACAAACATCGGCCTTTGTGTCTTGTATAACAGAAATGACATTAAATCTGTTTTCTCTTCCTCTATTTTAGGTTTAATTTTGAAGAAAACCGAAATTAAAGCTTAATGATCACGGTCAGGAAAATCTTAGTTAAGTGCTCGAGCCGAATCTTAATATGAATATGATATCACAATTAGAAAAATTATCCTGATTTATGTTCGCGCGAAGAAGTATTTACTTGCCTGATTTCGTGGACGCTTAGTTCCTCTGCCATTTCACAATTTACCTTCACTTCTTTAAAATTCAAGACGCTGAGACAGAATTTAAATGGGTCCTTCATTTCGGCTTCAATTTGCATTCTGTAAACAAGCACGGTTTGTAATATATCTTTCCTATTAATTTTCCTTTTTTCCAACGCCTACGTAGCGCTGACTTCTTATGACTTTCTCGCCGCTTACAAATATAAACAATGTTTCATGTGTTATTTTTTTGCGGTTATACCGCTAAAAGTAAAAAAAAAGAAAACATACACACTTGTTCAGATTTGTGAGTCTAACATCTAACGTCATGTGCCAGCCGGCTGATTTGAAAGTTCGGCTTAGCCTTTATAAAGAGACACTCAAGAACGTACACCATTTTTGTTTCTCCATTTTATTGTTTTGTCATTTTCTTTTTCTTTGTTGTTTTTACTACCGGAACTTTAAGCCGTATTTCTTACCAGGCACTGTAGAAAAACTCAAGGCAAGATTTATCAATGAGACTGGTATTAGGTTTGAGTGATAAGTACAATTACTATGCAGGAAAACCGCATCCGAGATACCGCGGAGACTGCGAAATTTTAACATTTCTATTGCTCTTTCTGAGACCCGCGATTTATTCCAGTCCGAGGCAAAAGATCTTTGAGAGCTTCTCAATAACTCTTTGCAACATAATCACTTCACGGCGTGGTATAATTTTGTTATTTAAGTTCGCTTCGCGGTTAAGACGAATCGTTATCGAACACGGCGAGTCGATAACTCGCCATACTTATTATGCGCGTTCAGTTCACACTGATAATTTCAATATATATTTTTTTATATAGATTTTTGTCTTCAAGTAAGATATCAATACCTTAAAGACTTACCTTGATTATAATACTGATGCGACGGCTTCAAAAACCCTCTAAAGTAACGGACCTTTTTAGCCCCTGCTTCACGAACATAGCAAAGAGAATTTCGTCCTCGATTTTATGCGTAAAGATCGCGTTCGTTAATACAGCTGCTCCTGTCCGCATCGATAGTGGCGAATTTATTTCTGCTTTTCTCCTTTTTCTTCGCCTGTGATACTTTCCGGTTTTAAAGTCAAGAACTTCTTTTCTTTCTCAAATAGAAGAAAACGCCTGAGTTATAAATATGGCCTCGTTTACAAGCACGGCACTGCGCTTATACAATTGGAAATATGTTCCCAAGGCAACAAGTACTTTGCCTATCTCTTACTCTTACCGGTTGCAACTTGTCACCGAAACGGCAATTATATTCTACTGGTGATGAATTTCTTAGAATTCAGTTTACCAATCGTTTAGTCGATGAGTGAAGACTGCAATAAACTCTCTAAGTAATTTCTTTATCGCATTTTGAAATTCATCTGAACGAAATGTCATTGACAATTAGATACACAATTTAGCCGCGCTGGCGTGTTTACAATCCAGCCCACCGAAAAATAAATATGGTAATTTTCTTTTTCCAGGAGAAAATAGGAATTTCTCGCTCGTAAAAAGCGGCTGTCGCGACGATGGTATGGTCAGCTTTTATTCTCTTGATCCTTTGATGAATAGATAACGGGTTTTGGGGAAATTGAACTTTTTATTTGAATGAACTTGCCGTGGATAATTTTTAATATTTTGTCTTCATTTAACGTTACCAAGGCATTCGTCGAAATGATATGTATGTTTGTTCAGTTGTCAAAATTCTGTCTATCGAGACAGTACTTGTTAAATATAAGAATATCATTTTTGGCACGGTTTAGATACAATTTACAACGTTGGAGGTTAAAATTTCTTTCTTTTTTTTTTTTTTTTTTTTCGAATTGGTTTTTATCACTGATTTAATTATAATTTTTTCGAAGTGAGAGTGAGATTATGCGACATACTGCATTATGTTATTTGGCTGTGCCGACATTCTACTTTTAAACATAATCTAGATATGTCGCCACAGGGATTAAAGGATTATATACAATTATAATTCAAAGAATGGTGAGCGCTAAAATGTAAACCGTGTTTCATTCGTTTTGGCTAGACCAGAAATCTTGTCAAAACCGCGAGCGCAAGTGTCAAAGAGAAATATAAACCCGTTAGGTTGTGTAATTTTTGTATTATTAGTTCATTTAAGTTTTTTTTGATGCGAATGTTGTTGTAGCTAGCGACCTCGTGTATTGGAAAAATGTCTAATCGTCGTTTTAATAGCGTATGTCGCGAAAGAGAGCGCGGCAAATCCTCCTCTTACTAGAAGCAGGTGCTCGTTCAAACGCCATCGACATCTAGCGTCACGTGACCTTACAAAATAAATGGCGCGCATTTCTCAGAAGTGGTGGAGGTGGAGATTTTCTTAGAGTTCTCTGCCTCTTTTCGGAATCATAAAATTTTCATCGTGGCTCTCGATCTGATCATTGTGATGTTTAGGGAGTTCAGTGAAAGGAAGACTTAAGGTGGCGTTCACGGAAAACGATGAAAATTTCCATAGATTTAGCTTAAGTTTCCTTCCTTCCTTTAAAAAGGTAACAAATGCGAAAAAAAAAATAAAATAGATAAGAACATCACTTATTCATGGCAAAAGAGGATATCCTTATTTTGGTGTAACTGCTCATTACAGAGGGGCGTGCAATCTTTATGGTCGATAATCTCGTTTTGTCTTTCTGTTTTCACGCAGAAGGTGATTTTCGAGAGAGTGAACAGGAAATTTTTTATGTTGCTGAAGAAAAAATGCAACACTCTAATGAATAAGATCGTTCGTTACGGTAAAAAATAGCTGAAGGGAAAAGGCAAAAGCTGTTGATTTGCTGTCAGGATCCCCATCACTTAGATTAAGGGTTCATGTTCCTTACTTTACCTGCTAAAATGTTGTTTGTTTTTTTTTTCAACGAGAAAAAGTTATTTTAATTTAAACCTTTCCCTAATAGCTGTGTCAGTTTTAATGATTTATAAAAGGATTTGGTGATTAACTGCTAACCGTTTATCTTCAGCTTTTCACATTTGTTCCTTGCGTGGACATCGAAAACAATTTGAATCTTCGTGGGAGAGACTCATCTAAAATTAATTCTCTCACGGAAACATAAACGTTGTTGCACGCACATATGCTTGCCCTCGACGCGGTAAATAAATTATATGATATGTCAGTAAGTGTTTCATGCTGCCACTTTTCAGTCCAGAGTTTGTTATCATGTAAGTCAAAACTATTAAAGAGCGACAGACTACTAACAAAGTGCTGTAAATACTCACTTGGAAGTAACCTAGTAACAAACCGCCTAGATCGCTTGTGTCTGGCAAAACGGTGCAGGTGATGAAATGGGGTGTGGGGCTGTTTGTGTATATCCCTACTGCGCATGCTCTATCTATGGTGAAACTTTTAAGAGGGTTTTGGAATTGTGGGCAAATAACGAGATCTGGATCCTTGACTCTGACTGGCTGAATCATCGGCAATGATTGTGTCAAGTGCAGATGGAGCTTCTTTGGAGAATTTCAGCCGACGTTTTCGTATAAGAACTGAGACGTGAAGGTTGTTTATTGTTTGGTATTCTCAGAAGGAGGCTGCGTCTAAGGTCTGAAAAAACTGCTGTGAAATTCCAATCTGACAATCAGCATAAGACTCGGTGTTTAAATTAACAGTAACCATCTAAAATTTTACAAACGGATTTCTTGATGGAATGAAATTTACTACCGGACTACTCAACAAATAACGCAGTATTGATCTTATTTGCTGCCGGCCCGGCGTCGTTTGATTTCGTCTCGAAAGCGTGACGAGACCAAACCAACGGCCGTGATATAAACTGATGCGGGATCCGTCGATGAATTTATTTTAACGAAACGTCCATTGGCTGATTACCTTCCATGTTTTACCAGGTACATTAAAAATGAATGGAGATGCAGATGTAATTATGTCTGACATCGGAGCATGGGAGGCGGACGCCAGTTAGGGTATGAATAATAATTGTGCCGCCTGTCATAAACTGACATTTTTCATCTAACATGAAAAAGAAAAGAAAACAGTCATATAACCAAATAATTTGGATATATCAACAAAGTTGAAATGGTAAATTGGCCACCGTAACGATTACAAAAGCTGACGTTTCGAGCGTTAGCCCTTCGTCGGAGCGAATAGAGGAATTGTGGGTTGTGTGTGCTTTTAAAGGCAGAAAATGGAGCTACGTTATTAGTGGGAACATCGTTTCCACCATTTCAACTTTGTTGATATATCCAAATTATTTCGTTACCCCCACCGACGCAGCCCCAAACAGTTTCTTTCGAAACTATCAGCCTTTATTCAGTTATATAACCATACATCATCCCGCGCCATCCGCACGATGTGAAAATGATGAAAAAAATAGGTGCTCCTGTTGTGCAAGTGTGGATGGGAACTTCGTCCTGCTATTTTTAATTTGGTGTGCAAAATATACATCGTGCTGTTATAATCAGACAAAATTTGGTACTTGACAAGAACATAAAAAAATTAAATGCAGGGACTGATCTTTCATGAGATAACTCCACATTAAGATGAATTGTATTATTTCCACTGAAATCATTGACGATGCTTGATCCATACTGAAGTTGGAGAAAAAAGGGGGAAAAAGGGTAGTTGCAGTCTGTTTGAAATTTAAATTTTCAACTGCGTATTTGAAAGGAGTCAATTCACACCATCAAGGATGTAAGAAGGGGAAAATTTAAAATAAATAAATAACATTTAGATCCCTCCTCCCTTTGAGTAATTACAACCAGTTTGTGAAACAAATTCCATCCTGACAATCCCCTCTTGAGAATCATTAAAATGTCTTTTCTGGTTCGTCGCGTGTATGCCTCTGACTCAGCAAATGAACAGTGATTGACAAATTGTGGGCGAACTCCCGGATGAGGGGAATTTTTATCTCACGACCTGATATTTGTTATTTACTTTCCGACAAACCTTTTAGATTAACGCTTTCCTTGTACACGCCTTGCCATTGGTCGAGATGAGATTCCACTGACTACCTGAAACAATGATCTAATTGCCAGAATAGAGAAAGTGTTATCTACTTAGTGAGAAGAATGATTACACGCAGATCTGAAGATTGTGAGGCGAGTTGACTTAAAGATATCTCTGACAAGGAGTATATTCTTTGTGAGTATTTCCACTTTCTCCAGCTTTGAATGAAAAGCTTTTAATTTTTCAATTATTTCATCGATAACAATGTTTCGGACCGTCCTGAATAGCGGAAAAGGTTTCAAATTGTACAGCTGTCGATGGTTAAATCAAACGTCTTTGAAGCAAACAAACGAAAAACGCTTTAATTTGTGATACAAAATCGTTACTCGCTCAACGATGTCCTCATGGAACTACGGTAGTCCCTGGGTTAGGGTTAGTTGTTGTTGTTGTTGTTTGCTTTTTTTTTTGATACTATCCTTACCATTTGCTGTCTAAAGTTTCAAAAAATAACATAGAAGAGCAAAAGTTGAATTCACACCCATGTATTTATAAAAAGGCATCTTTGATCTGGTGTACAAATGCTAAATGGAACATCTGCTGGACCAGAGCTCAACTCACGCAAACTGTCACTTTTACCAATTCTCATTTCAAACCAACACAATGTAAAGTCAATCAACACTCGGCGATTGGCTTTACAATAGTCAGACCTTTATCTATACATTTTTTAAAGATACTGTTTCAGTGTTCTAGTTTGAAGCAACGATCTTTATCTACTGGCAAGTAATTGGAATGGCGTAGGTGCTGTTGTAACTACCTTTCATAGGTCAATACAAGATCTGCAAACTTCTGTCTCTCTTGTTAGTTCTGCTGTTTGGATTTTATGGTTAATTTCCGTGACTAATATTGTGTTTCAAAACTTCCAAGTAAAGATCGATTCCTCGTCACAGGTAAGAGCTTTTACTTTTATTGTTTTCAATGCAAAGCAAATCAGCACTCGGCGGTTAACTTTCTAATAATCAGACCTTTATCTGTACATTTTTTAAAGATACTGTTTCAGTATTCTAGTTTGAAGCAACGATCTTTATCTACTGGCAAGTAATTAGAATGGCGTAGGTGCTGTTGTAACTACCTTTCATAGGTCAATACAAGATCTGCAAACTTTTATCTCTGTTGTTCGTTCTGATGTTTGGATTTTATGGTTAATTTCCGTGACTAATATTGTGTTTCAAAACTTCCAAGTAAAAATCGATTCCTCATCACAGGTAAGAGCTTTTACTTTTATTGCTTTCAATGCAAAGCAAATCAGCACTCGGCGATTAGCTTTCTAATAATCAGACCTTTGTCTGTACATTTTTTAAAGATACCTTTTTAGTGTTCCAATATCAAACAACGATCTTCATCGACTGGAAAATAATTCGAATGACGTAGGTACTGTTATAACTACCTTTCATAGGTCAATACGAGATCTGCAAACTTCTGTCTCTCATGTTTGTTCTGCTGTTTGGGTTTCATGGTTAATTTCCGTCACTAAAATTGTGTTTCTAAACCGAGTAAAGATCGATTCCTTTTCAAAGGTAAGAGCTTGTATTTTCACAGTCGCTTATCCTTCAGTGTGCGACTAATCGTAACGTAAATCATTTTGAATTGTCTTTGGGGGAGTTTGTAAAATCAGTGTTTAAAGCAAAGAAAACTCGTTCTGATCTTGGAATAATAATAAAAAAACTGGTGCAGTTGTAAAATAGAACAAATGATACGAACCTTACTCGTACTGCACTCGTTACTGTTAATAAGGAGGTGTAAACTGAATGTATTTCAAATGTATCGCCTTCAGATCCTGATCCAAACCCATTTCTCACTCAAGCAGAGTAGTTTAAAATTTGCTTCGATGAAGACGAGTGACAAGGGATCAGCCTGCTATGTAGGTCCACGAAACCTTGAATCATGGACATCTACAAAAAGTTGCAAATGTATCTGAGTCGGTCTCTCCCTGTGTAAAATTCAGGGATGTTTTCTCTTTCTTGCAGGACATTCATGGTGCAAAACATCAATCGTAACCTTTGGTTCATTTTGTTTGCGGCTCTCGTCCAAACTGGTTAGTATCACAATGACATCCACAAGGGTTACTGATTATGTGATTATATTATATTGTGAGCTTGTATCAAGTGTCGGAACTGATCATCGAACAGATTGACTGGCTCTCACTGGCAAACCGACTAACTGGAAAATTGACAGAGTAACTGACTGATGACCAGCAGGCTGGATAGTTCGCTGGATGACCGCGGGCTCACTAGCTTACTGACTCAGGAATAGCCGATTGCAAATTCATCCGACGTGAAATAAAGGTCCAAGTCATAAAACTGCAAGACTCATCCATTTTTTCTTACCTTTTTCAGGTACAGCAAATTCCCCATCGTCAAGAGCTCGGGCGTTATGTTTCTCTCACGAGCAATGTCAAAATGGAGGAAGCTGCTTAAATCAAAGTTGTTTTTGTGCTAATGGGTATTACGGCCCAAAATGCGAAAATAAACGTCAGTGCGATAAAAATTTCCCTTGCCAAAACAACGGCACATGTGAGCTGGACCGGTGGACTAACACAAGTTTTTGCAACTGTAACCAGTACTCAGTTAGCGATGGTCGCTTTGAGGGGGTTTTCTGTGAAAAGAAAGCTCCATGTCACGCGAATGTTTACTGTTTAAATGGCGGCGTGTGCCGAAGAGATCCTTACCTGAACGGTGTCTTTTTCTGTAAATGTCGTCACGGATTTTCTGGACCTGATTGCCGGGAGATAACATCGTGTCGTAATTCGAAAGTTTGCCTGAACGGTGCAAGGTGTATAAGTAACAAGTGCTCTTGTGACGGAGATAGTCACACTGGTCATTTTTGTGAGTTGGAAGTCACTTCGGGTTAGTAATGCTTAAATTCACACCTGGTATGGTTTACAGTCACGCTCGACATGTAATGCTAAGAGTCACGCTTGGTTTGTATTGCTCGAAGTCACGCTCTATGCCGCGCTTTGTTTGTATTGCTCGAAGTCACGCTTTAGTGGTGTAATGCTTACAGTCACACCTGGTATGTACTGCTAAGTTTCGCCTAGGCTGTCTATTTCTTCACTGTTTCACCTTATCGCAGTGTGTCTTTTACGAAACTTGGATATGATTGAATAGACCCGACATTGCAGTCAAAATTATGGAAATACTAAGGTAAGAAAGTGTAAACCCTTAGAACTGTGAGCTGAAAATAACACGTCAAGGCAACTCACATTATACACAGTCCAAATCGATATGAAAAATATGAAATGGCATTTTCTCAGCTCAAAAAATACGTTCCTGAATAAAAGTTTGTAAGATTACAAGACAGAGTGCTCCTTTAGCGCGGTTGCAAATTTGTATCAATTTTGCTCAATGAAAGCAGTCTCAGTAAACACTTGCTTTCTCTTTTCACATAAATTTCGGGTGGATTCATCAGAATATTTAGTTCTCTCGTGAACAAATGAAGGTGTAAACCTTAAGAGCATAACTCATAAATCCTTTGTTCTTAATCTACAGCTCTTAATTATTCAACTGTCTTCCACTGGCCCTTTAATCGACTACATCTTGGTATGAAAGGTAAGAACTTAAATCGTGGCATTTCCTCCGTCAGGCTTTATATGTCTTTAAATCAGAATCAGAGATATCAATCGATGTCATTTCGATTGAGTTTCCCATTACCAGAACCGAACTAATATCAGCAGCCAATCAGAAAAATAGAAATATTTTAAGCAACCAATAACAATCCAAAATAAGAGTAAGAGTGCCATGTTGCGGGAAAACACAAGAGATCTGATTCGTAATTGTTTTTTGTTTTGCATCTAATTGGTTGAGAGGGTGACGCTAGATTTCTTGGGCCAATCACAGAGTGAAGTGAAGCAAAAGCCAGATTACTTTCAGCGCTCTACTGAAAATCGCCTAAAAGAGTGCAGTTCCCCATCTTTCTTTTAGAAGTCGTGATTGTGGCAACAAAACGTTTACGCTTCTTCGTTAAAAAAAAAAAAAAACATATTTAAGCAAGTAAAAGAGTTGTGATATTGTTCCTCTCAGAACTGGTGGCCATAATCGTAACCATAAGTTTAATTAAACTGTTGCTTAGTTTCTTATATTTTCAACCTCAGGTGCAGCTAAAGTGGTTAGAGATGCACAGATGGGAAATGTTCTCGATATGATGAAGGCAGGAGGTGGTTGGGTTGACCTCGGTAAATAGCTGAACACTGAGTTATCTGTAGTATTTATTATTGATTGATTTATCTCTCTATTTATGTCTTATTCGTTCCTCCACGACCTCATGTGAGCACCTTGCTTAATCTTAACATTTTTTTTTAGGCCAGGTTAATAACCGTTGCCTCGAAGACCTAAGCAAGTGCCACGAAGGTATTTCCATGTCGTTCTGGCTTCAGTTTACTGACGGGCGTCAAGTGATAACACTTATCAACAAAAACATCACGTTACTGTCTGTGCATGTTAAAGACTACAAGAATATTTTTATAAGGTTGAAAGCGGGCTCCAGTATTTGGAATATTAAAAGAAGCTGTTTTCCCATGGGATGGTTCCATCTGGCAATAACTTGGAATCACCGAAGTAAGTAATGGTTCGACTAACAGAGCTGTCACTAATGATTATGATCGATAATTGTATGAACCGTCCAATTTGATGCTATTTTAATAAGATGACGGAGAAGTATAGTCCTATACAAAGATCCTACAGGCGTTTGTGGGCATACTGGTTTTCTTTTTCTTATCTTGACACCTTTTAAGTTTTAGTAATACCCGTGCTGAAAATGTTCCCACAATAAGTTGTGTAAGGGTTTAAAGTAGGTAACATTTTAAATAACTTTGATTTCTTCGTTCCATCTGCATTTCTGTTTATCTTGATATTTTTTACCCATCTTCTTCGTCGTTTAGAATTGCATTATTATGAAAATGGTCACCAAGTGCGTGTGTCTTCCGCTTCTTCGGCGCTGATTCGAGAGGATGCTAGCCCCTTTGGAAACTCAACTAAGTTGTCTGTTGGAGGAAACCAAGGTCAAGGAGCGTTTTCTACTCTACGAATGAGCGACCTCGCCTTATGGACGCGCGCATTGTCCATTGAGGAAGTAGGAGACGTGTATAAAAAGAGTAAGTTGTTTGCCTCTCGCTGAAACAAAATCATTAAAGGATTAGCCAGGATTGAATCCTGGTTGTAATTGTGACTATTCGAGTGAAAATTAATTATGTTAAGTGAAATTGTTTGATTAATTCACAATCTTTCTGTGAGGTTTGACAACTGTATTGCCCATATTTTGCCAGAACTTTCATCTCCACTCACAACGCGCTGCCTCTTGGTTCCCTGTTCATCAAACCAGTGGTGTGAGGATATTAGCAACGATTCCCGCAACTTCACTTGCATCGAACCTGCTGGTTTCTACTGCAGTTTTGACAACAGTTCTTGTCAATGGCTAGATTCGCCCCTCAATAATAGTTATTGGAAGATTGTCAAAAGATATGGTTCTTTACGTCATGATCATACTACGAACTCTTGCGCAGGTATTATCTTTGGCTTCAGCTTTTGAAAGAACTGAAGTACTCTTGTCATCTTAAACTCTAAATTCGGGTTGTTTAGGATGTAATGACCGTACATAGGTTGCTGTAAATTTTGGTTAAAGCGTTAACGCACTTTAGAAAGCACTTTAGAAAGTCTATGAAAAACCAGAACACGTTAGATCTAATATTCGAAGGATTGACAAGACATACAAGAGAATTTAGAACCAATGTACGCTTATAATCGTGGAATAGCGCTATCAGCATTTTGAACAATCTTCCTTGGGCAAAATGGGGGGACGATTTCCCAAGATTTCTTCATTTAAAGTTGGCTGCCATCTTGGATCTTTCAGTGAGTGGAAGGTTGAGGACAGAGAGAAACTTGTTCTGAGGAGGGGGAAGATAAACGTGAGTAAACAGGGGGGGAGGAGGTAGGAGCCCATCCCTATCCCTTATCGTCCAGTCTTATCCTAAAATAAAATTTCTTTACCAGGTTCCCAGAAATTCCTAGGCCTAGTTTCCAGCAAAGGTAGACTTAGCAGTGACGTCATCATTCCACCATTTTCAAAATCGAGTGTCCTTTGGAAGAAGGTGGCGATATCGATGTGGTATTACATGGAGGGATGGACGAACAAAACATTATATGTTATCCTACAGACATCGGCTGAATATAAAGAAGTATTTACCGTCAAACAACGGCAGAATCGACTATGGACATATTGGGATCTGCAAGTCCCTGTTAACAGTTCTTTCCAGGTGAGTGGAGTGCATATTTTCTTGAGTTTCTGTGATGTGTTTCTTTCGTCTTTTTTTTTCAAAATCAAAGAGATAGCGATCGGTGTAATGATTATTGTTTATTTTGTAATGATAATTGTTGATTTTGTAATAATAATTGTTTATTTTGTAAGGATGATTTTTTATTTTGTAATGATAATTGTTTATTTTGTAATGATAATTGTTTATTTTGTAATAATGATTGTTGATTTTGTAATGATAATTGTTTATTTTGCGATGATGATTGTTTACTTTGTAATAATAATTGTTTATTTTGTAATAATAATTGTCTATTTTGTAATAATGATTGTTTATTTTGTAAGGATGATTTTT